AATAAGATATTAGCATAAATATACATGATTATAAACATTATTTTCTCATAATTTTTCTCTTTTGATATCCTCTTACTCTGTTTTCTCTCTTTTATCTTTTTATTTAATCTTTTATCAATTCGTTTTTGATTCTATTAGTGTTTAGCAAGTACATTGAGCGGATAACTTTAAAGAAAATGAGAAATTCTGTCAGAGCTATTGTGAGAGATAACGCATAAACAATTTATATAATTTCGACAATTTTTGCGATTTTTTTAAATTTTCTTAGCACTATAATTAGAGTTATGTTATTATTACTTCTTTTTTTTTTTTTGGCTAACAGTTAGCAGCTATGCTCATTTGAATTTGAATTGAGTGTATCGATCTCTTTGAAATATTAAGTATAGTGATTGATCTCTTAAAAAATTGGATAATAATGAAAGTTCAATTCAAGAAATAAGTTTATTCGTATGATCTTAATTGACATTTATGAATAGCTCTTATAGTGAGGTTTTTTTTTTTACATTGCTCTTCTATGCGATTATTTTTACAAAAAATAAATGTTAACACTCTTATTGAATTTTATGTTGCCCCCACTATGGAAGAAGCTTGGCTCCGCCCCTGTGCCCCTCCTTTTCCCCCTCCCCCTCCCCCTCCCCCTCCCCCTCCCCCTCTCCCCCTTCCAAAAAAAAAAAAAAACTCTCTTGATTTTTTAACGTCACTAGTTGCTAGACACATGGTTTCAAATTACTGTTTTAGAATTTCATGTTTCGCACATCATTGTTTCCTTCATTTTTGGCACTATATTAGTCTTATTAGATTATTCATGGAGTTTGTTATGTGCCCTCCAATTAAGTGTACTATTTTATTTCATTACAAGATGACTCGTACATAAAGGCACGATAATTAAGAAGTAATAGATTTGAAAGGGAGATAGAAGAATTCAATGTGAATAGTTTTAAAAAAAACGTTGATTGACATTAAATGAGTTTATTTGAAATCATCAAATAAGTTTTATTAAAACTTATTTTATTTTATATTATAGATTAATAAATATCCATACTTGTCTGAGGTTTGCAAAAAAAAAAATTAAAATAAAACAAAAGAAGAAGAGGAAAAAAAGCATAGAAGAGAGCAGAGCAGATTTCCCTTTTTTTTAACATTGGTGTCCTACCGAAAAACTTTCCTTCAATGTACGTCCCATTGGTTCTATTTCATAGAACCCTAGTCCCTCTTCCCAAATTTAAATTTAAAATTGAGCTGTAGCCAAAATTAACATTCTTGATTCTTAAGTTGTTACTGAAACCCTACGTCAAAGGTGTTCGTGATAAATTTTTAATATGAATTAAAAAAGCCAAAAATGGAGAGACAAAAAAGCACACATAAATAGACAAACGTAAGTGGCTCAGCCACATGGCCTACACTCACATATCAAATACCAAACAAAAGCTATGTCACGCATGGTCATCCATGTAACATAAAGCTCGTGGTGTATTTGTAAGAAAATAAAAGTAAACGCATGTTATATATGAATTTGAATCATGAGAATCATGCAAAATACCACAATAAGAAATTACAATTAATCAAACATCTCTGAAACTGTACGTAATGGACATTGAAAGCGGTTGGGTCTACTTATATCTTTAATAATTTATGACCAAAACAATACAAACAAGATACAGAAATTGCATAGTTACCCACTTACCGCCTAAGAATTTTCTCTTTACTATCATATAACTCACATACGTAAACTTATAGTCATAACCCTATTAAAATGCTCAGAAAAAAAAAGAATAAAAATTGATCGAGTGGAGGTATACTTTGGATTCCTGCAGGCTTTGAAACTTGGTAATACTTACAAGTTACAATTCAGATCTGAGAATTCCAACACTTTGAGTTGAATCGAGAAGTCCCTCTATGGACTCAATTCAAAAATAGTTTGGCAAGCAAAACTGAGATGGCTCCCCTTCAATTCATTTTGAATTTCCAATGCACAACACGGACTCTGATTGCTTTCTTCTCTTTGGTTCTGGCTCGCCTAACTGCAACGAAACCAAAATCTCTTCATCTGACCCGTTTCTCAGTGCAGAGAGGTTTTCATATTCTGCATTTTCCTCTTGATTGTTATGATGCAGTGGAGATCTCCCAGCAAAACTCGGGATGAATTGGTGTTCCACATTTGGAGCTGCTTCAGAACAACCTTCAATGCGAAGCTCACCTTCAACAGGAAGTTGCTGGATGTTTAACCCCAGAGGCTCAAAGTTTTCTTCCATTTTATCTTTTAGTGACATCCTATCGGGGGGAGATGACTCACCAACAGTAGAATCAATCCCTGCTGCTGAAGCATTTCTTTGCTCTAGCAGCGCAGCTGTATCAAAAGTAAGAAAAAAATATATACAAAAAAACGACCATCACAAGGGTAGTAAATGAAACATGTAGAAGTAAGAACAGCAAGAGGGGAAAAGACCAAGGTGATAATTCTTTATTCGACAGTCCTCTTGTTTGATTAAATCGTCAGTTACCCCAAATTCTAATGCCATTGCCCTTCATTCGCCAAAAATATCAACTTGACTACCTCACAGTCACTGATCTTTTGTAAGGGAAAGAAAGGCCAAGTGGGCCATAACTGAGAACTGGACATAATTTCTTATTTTTGCACATAGCATTTCACAACTAACCAAACCCCTGCCAAAAATAAGATTCAGTCCAAATAAGGACTCAGCGGCACCATAACTGTGCACGCAGATAGAAGCCCATGTAAAAAGCATCAATTCATATTGCAAAGAAATTTGTAAAACTTCTTTTTTCTCCCTATCATAATCTTTTTGTTACAAAATCAAAGTTCATGATTCTCTTTTTTTTTTTTTTTTGGTTACATTATTGATGTCACACTGTTTTCTTGTATACCTATTGAGCACTTTCTGTGTTTTCAAACAATTGTATACATAATTACAACTCTGTAAAAATAAATGTTTTAGTTAAGCACTTTCTGTGTTTTCAAAAAATTGTAAACATAATGACAACTCTGTAAAAATAAATGTTTTAGTTAAAATTAATGCCCCGTGATTAAAATTAAGCACATGATGTCACACTGTTTTCCTGCATACCATGATTGGAGCATGCAGAAAGACCCTTATAAAAGTGTGACGAATTCTGCAGAGACAATTTTCTGATTCTCTTGAGTCGCCATTGTTATCTTTCAAATGTTCACAATTTTCTCCTAGACCCATTTCCACATATCTTGACTTTTTGTTTTGAAATCATTGTTCATGCTTTACTTCTTATTTATCTGAAAGTAAATCAAAATTATCATGATGTCAAATACCATAACTGCAGCCCCTATATGACGACAGTTAACAAGGTTAAATATATGATTCAGAACACAAACCTTGAAGCCCTTCATCAGTTATGATAAGATCAAGTTCAAGGAGGTCAAGAAGGCGCCCTAAATCAACTCCACTGGTCCAATTCTCTGGTGGTTCTCCTACTTTTAATTTCAGCCGACCTCGATTAGCAGTTCCACCCCAAATGATCCCAACAGGCCGTGGTTTCTCCACATTTTGACCGGTCAAGAGAATGAGGCTTCCACTGTCACCTTCAAGGTCAAATGTTTGTTGATTCTCACCAACAACAAGAAAATCGGTCAAGAAGCAAATCCCTTTCTCATCGTTGTACTCAAGGGCATAGGCCATTATGGTCCCTGTAGTCAAACCGGAGCTTCTTCCAACTTTAACCACTTGTCTACCAATTAGACTATTGATTGGAGACTGCAAGTCTATGATATTTACATCACCAATCTCACCTATGCCTTTTACAGACGTAGTTACATTGGCCATATTAAAATCTTCTGCAAAAGGAATGAAGGCCCCATCTGCCCGAACAAATGTTTCTGCAGGACCACCATATTGTAATGGGCATGAGTGGAGATCAGTACCCAATGAGAAACCCATTAACTCAAATGCGAGATCAGGTACACCTTTGGTTGAGAATGTGTTTAAATATATTCTAGAGAAGGATTTATCTCAATTACTAGACAACAGTGTTTATTAAAGCAGGAAAATTTCTAAGATAAAGCTTGCTTAAAAGTTTATAAACAGCAAACCCAAATGTCCTACACAAAATATAATAACCTGAAATTAGGATGGCAGGATAGGAAGAATCCTTCATAAGTTGTCATACATGCGCACTTAGCAGCTAAATATTTCTAACTTATATAGCGTAATTATTTTACAATCCACAAGCCTAATAAAAAGCCTTTCTATTTGTTGTCCAAAAAAAGATAGAAATTAGTGAGTTGACGGATTTCCCAGCATTCTAAGCATACACAAGACAGGTCCAATCTGTGAAGATTTGGCTTTATTCCTCGAATACTGGCTTAGTTCTGGACCCCAAATTCAACCGACTTGAGGATGGTTTTAATTGGGATTTGAGAATTGAGACTTTGGTCAATACTCTCTTGCATGCCCAGAGAGTGTGCATTTTATGTGTACAAGGGAAATTTGTATCTTACATTTAACTCATCTACCACAATTAGAAGCACTCTCAGAATAAACCAATTAACACAGTGGACTTGGATATTGCGTGTAAATATTGATTACTAAATTGGTCTCCACTAGGGATAATGCCCTAGATCAACATGTCAGATCAGTTTCCATACCTGATCAACTTATATTTCATGGGACTAATATTGAGGAGCATGTGGATCAAATTTTTATCCAGTAGATTCCAATTTTTTAGAATTCTCTACATGGTTGCCTTAACCTAAGACAGCCTCTGCCTCTGGATTTCTGATCTATTTCCTCCTCTTCTTCGAGAAATATTACCCAATCAATGACTAGTTGCAGTTGCACCAATTTTTCTTCTTATCAGTATGATTCGCCCATCTAAAGTTAATAGCACAAATACACCAGATGAATGGTAACAAATTGAGCAAAACTATTATTGCTACTAAATACTTTGGGGTATCAAAGATGCAGATGAAACATTGCTGATAACCAGTAATCTAGAATTACATTACCCGCGTTTGTCCCAGCAAAGGTGCCATACCAAAGATCATCAGTGATGAATGATGTTGCCCTCTCTACTGCACCCAGATACACTCCAGGTCCAAGGCTTGGAGGCAAAGGATGGAACATTTTCTGGTTTGGGTAATCCAAGTCAACCGCTACATGCCGATTTGTAAGGAAACCAACCTGCATGTTTCCTGTTCGGCTTTTGACAATAGCACCTAGTGTTCCATATGTCTCTTGGCTTGCAACCTAAATATGCAAGAAGCAATTAGGTATCTGACATTAACATCAAAGAAAAAAGAGCGGCAATGTAAACAAATCACCATGGTATAAAAAATGAAGAGAAGTGCATCAATTAGTGCCTTTAACAGGTAAGTTGCTTCAGGAGGGAAATGAAAAAGAAAAGAATACACCAAATGAGCAATCAAATAATGGAGAGGTATATCATCCTTACAAAGGCAGTCTTTAAGCATTTATTTTAGAATGTTGGTCAGGATATTTCCATAAATTTTTGTTCCATTCCAATTTCCAAAGATGGTTTATACGCATGCTAGATTTTACTCCAAGCATTTAAGGATAAAGAAATTGCCAACTTGCCATATATGCAAAGCTTCAATATTATCAAAATACTGCAGTGTTTAATTCAAAATCACAACAATGAACAGAAGTAGCATAACAAGGGTTCAATGATTGCCAAGTTTATCAATAACTTTCCATTCATAACAGAATAAAGACTAATATGGATGAGCATGCAATTAAAGAACTTGGATGTGCTACTACCTGCCAATGACAGCACTGGACTCCTATGTACTGACAAAGCCAACTTACTAAATATCTGGTTTGATACTGAACACTATGTTGGCTATATTCTTTGTCTACACACAATCTTCATATTAAATAATTGCCAGGAAGCCTGGCAACTGTTTACAACATGTTGGAAACTATATATGCAAATTTCACAAAAAAAAAAAATAAGAAGAAGAAAGAAAAGTTCGCATGTTCAATGCTAGAAATGACTGTGGTACATAACTTTGTCTTTTGGCTGGTCAAAGTCAAGAAAAACAAAATATATAAGGATAGAAAATACAACGAAGAGATAAACAAGAAATGCAAGGCAACGTGAACTACACCACACTAGTTTTTTTTTTTTTTTTTTTTATAGGAACTACACCACACTAATTTAAAGCTTAATCTCTCTCCAACGCCCGAGCAACCGAACGAGAAAACCCACTTTTACCAATAAAGCCTATGAAGCCATTCTTAAAAGCCTAAAGTGCCTTCATGCAAGTCTGAGGTTCTAGGAAAAATAAAGATAATCAGGAAGGATGAATTATTTATAACTCAAATTTTTTCCATTCACAAAAATACCAATGGGGTCAGAGACTAGAGAGGCAAGAGTAATTTCAATACCAATGGGTCTTTCGTCCAATGGTACTCCTTATCTTGTGAAAGTTTTGTCTTCTTGAGATCAAGGGTTCAAGCCTCCCCTTCCCCCTCACCCTCCTACTCCCACTCCCACTCCCAAAAAAAAACGAAAAATTTTTTTTTAAAAAAAAATTTAGTAGTTGGTTGTATTAGACACATTCAAGTCGCCTAATATGATACTGTGGGTTAAAAAAATTGAAATTACTCTTGCCTCTCTCCTTAATATAGTATTAATAGAGAGGCATTACTAGTTGGTTGTATCAGACACGTTATAGGTGGTGCAGCTTTGGCTGAAAACATGTAATATGACTCCAAGTAACTTCCGCATATAAATCACAATTTTAATTTTGCAAAGTTCTACATACGTTACATATAGGGTTTCAATAAAATAACATAAATTGGTTATATGGTAATTCTAAAAACCACACATCAAAAATTCAGTAATATGCTCAAGTTCTACAAGAGAGGGAAACATCAAGAAAAAAAAACCACAAAACATTCTTTAGGATAATTGTGTTAAAATTTAGATTTTAGATTATATTTAGTAGTCAAAGGTAGTCTAGTCATTATTTGCTTGTTTTAAGTTTTTATTTTCTCTTGCATAAAGTATATCTGGTATTTATTTTCATTATTATGGTATACAACTGAGCCACATATATATTTCTCCAGTCCTCTCATAATTTGGTCTTTCTTTACATGTTATCAATGCAGCTTATCATAAAAGAATGGTTTTCGCCTTCACAATAACATCAATTGTTCTTTCTCTCCTCCCCCCCCTAATATTTGATCTCAAATCTCTTTGATTTTGGTAAGAAATTAATGCTGATTCTGTCAAATACTCAATGTTGTCAATTTGAATTTTATCAAAGATGGTCATCCTCATATCTCTATTCCTGATCTCAAAGCCTACAATGTCTTTAATTCATCATAATCAATACTGATCGTTGACATGAACCACAACACTTATTGCAGACATCAAACCCCAATCAACATCATTGTCGGCCTTCCCTCAAGTCTTGTCATTGTGATTCTTACGTTTTGTGTCCCAATTGCTACAGTTAATAGATGTCAGACAAGCTCCTCGAGATTGGTTTGAGAAATTCTCTATTATGATTTGCTAGTTGGGTTTTCATTTCAACAGTCATGATTTGACATTCTTTCTTCTTTCTACTTTTGGTCAAGTTGTTCTCCTCTTATATGTTGAAGATACGAGGGGATGATTCTAAGGACATCTCAGTTTAAAGTCCGTAGCATTAGTCTGGCATGAAGAATCTTGGTGATCTTTTATTTTTCTAGGCATTGAAGTGTCATCGTCTGTGAAGGGGTATTGTTTATCTCAGTCAAAGTATGAAGCTAATGTACCAGTAAGGTTCAGTTCACAGATTCTCAAATTGCTGAGACTCCTCCCAGTTTAATGCGCATTACACTTCTATAAATGGTGTCTCTTTGGCTCATCTTAATTTGCAAAGGGTCCTTGTTGGTAGTCTAGTATACCCCATTATTATGCAACTTGATACTGCCACTGTTATTCATCTATTGAGTTAGTTTATCTCAGTTTAGGTTGTAGTTCACTAGGTTCTAGTTCTTCAAATTTTGTGTCATCTTCAAGGCACTTTACATCAAAGTTTTTTACTTTCTTCCACTTATTTGGAACTTCGTGCTTTTTCTCACAATGGTGTTAGAGGACTCTAGTATACTTAGTATTATAAGAGTAGTTTAGTCATTTATTTTATTGTATGTTACCTTACTATACAAGGACCTCTATTATGTATATCTCAAGTTTTTTTAATGATGTTATAGAGAGTTATTGTGTTGTAATAATATTTGCTCTCTTTTTTTCTTCTTTTCTCTTTCTTTGATCATAGTTTACATGGTATCAAAGCATGTTGCGATTTGAAAACATATTTAACATCAGAGTTATTGTAGTTATGAGAGAATTTGTTCCTAGACTAGGGGTGATGTCATCATTGACAACATGACCTCATCATCCTGGACTAGTTGAAGGCACCTCCCAACTCGATTTTTCATGGGCATTCTCATTCTATTCTTGGTTTTCGATTTCATGGTGATTGGATAGGGTTTTCTATTTTTCAAATATTTTTCAAAAATTTCACACTAATTTTTTGATCTTGGATCTCTTGCTCTCTCTCTTTTTTTTTTATTTATTTGCCCCAAACCAAGCCTATGGGGTACTACTTGAGGTTCTTGGTGCTTGTTTAACTTGCGGAAGGTCGACAAATCTTTTCAATATGTGTATGCTATCATGTATGAATAATGTCTGAAATAAAAATTATATTAAATTATAAATTAATTAATTAATAAATGATTAAACATGTGATAAAAATAGGTGATGAGATGGTTTTATTAGGAAAAATATGTATGAGATAAAATTTCAAACACCTAATTTTTTTATTATATAGATTTTTAATAAAAGATATGGAGATATTTTAGATATTTCAAAAATTTTCGCAATTATATGTTTCTTGAGTTGTGTAATGCAATTCTAACCCTTAGGTGTGATGTCTAAGGAACCCTAAGAGTGATTTCTAGCCAATATTACTATTAACGTTACTGTTCAGAGCTCTATTACTGTTCACAGGTACTAATCATAGCCCTAAACAGCCCTAATTTTCATTTTGCATAGTTGTCCTATACCAACTAGACTCCCCTAGAGCAACAAACCCCAAGAGGTGGCTCCATATAAACTTCTTCAATTAACTCATCATGTAAAAAGACATTCTTTACATCCAGTTGAAATAAAGGACAATGAAAATTTACAGCCAGAGAACTTGGCAACATGGCAACAGGGGTGAAGATTTCCGCATAGTCTACACCGTATGTCTAAGTAAAATGCTTAGCAACCGACCTTGCATTTAGTCTCTCAATGGAACCATCGGGCAGGTATTTGATAGCATACACCCATCGACAACCGACTACTTTATTTCCTAGAAAAGTATTGAACTCCTCTTCCATAGCTCTTCACCACCCAAGATCCGTAAAAGTTTCATTAACAAAGTGAGGAATGGGAAAAAATGACAAAGACGAAGTAAAATAACAAAAACTAGAAGATAAACCATCATAGGAAACAAAATGTTGGATAAGATGAGCGGTAGAACTAGTAAGTAGTGTGTATAATTGCTTAACCTTTCGAATTCCAACAGGAAGATTAGTATCTGAAGATGGTACGTTGTGGGAACCAGATGAAGTAGAGTCAGGACCGTCAGATGACAAAGAGGGTGGTGGAGATGTTGGGATAGTTGTTTTCATGCGACTTGAGTACACCAGTGTAATAAGAGGTTTCTTAGCCTCTAAGAAATTCGAGTTAGACAAAACTGGAAGAGGTAACAAAAGTGGAAATTTATCAAAACCAACATCTTTTGACACCTCAGAGAAGAAGGGAACTGAGTGAAAAAATGTAACATTAACACAAACACAAACAAACTAACGATGGAGGGTAGGGTTATAACACTTATAGCCTTTCTGAGTACGAGAGTAATCTAGAAAAACACACTTGATAGATTTGGGATCAAGTTTGTCTATATCAAGACTTAATTGATGAACAAAGGATACACAACCAAAAACACGTAGGAGAATAGAGAATAAGGGATGATTAGGAAAAACAGCTAGTGAGGAATTTGACCATTCAGAACAAAAGAAGGCATACGATTAATCAAGTGACATGCAGTGAGTACTACATTACTCCAAAAAAAACTTAGGGACTTTCATGTGAAACAAGAGAGCAAGAGCAACCTTGATGAGGTGGCGATTTTTGCATTTGGCCACCCTTTTTTGTTGAGGAGTGCCACTACATGAAGTACAATGGAGAATACCATGGGCAATAAAAAAGTTATGAAATAGGTGAGAAAGATATTTATTTGCATTGTCAACTTGTAAAATACGCACCGGCAAACCAAATTAGGTCTTAGTTTCCATAACAAAAGATTTAAAAATGAAAAATAATTCAGAACGATTTTCATTAAGAAAAGTAAAGTCATCCCGGAATAATAATCAATAAAAGTAACAAAATACTTGAAACCTAAATAAGAAGACACATGAGCTAGACCCCAAATATCGAAATGTACAACTTTAAATAAACTAGAGACACGGTTACACATTCATGGTGCAAAAGAACTACGAATGTGTTTGTCGAACTGACATGACTCACAATCTAAAGACGAAAACTAACTCAACTCCAGAACTAAATGATGAAGACTTCGTAAAGAGAGATAACCAAGTCGGCAATGCCACTGATGTGGAGAACAAAACGTGTGTACACCTGGACCGCAAGTGGGCAAAATATCAAGGTAGTAAAGACCACTGTCTTAATGACCTACACCAATCCTCTTCTTCGTCGTGAGGTCCTGAAACACACAAGAAAGAGGATAAAATGTTACCGAACAATTTAAGGATTTAGTGAGTTTACTTACAAAATGTTAAATGAAAATTAGGAATATGTAAAACCGAGGATAAGGGCAAGGCAAAACTAGGGGTTACAGTGCCAACACCAAAAACTAAGGATGAGGACCCATCTACTAATGTAACATGTTGATTAGTAGTGAGACAATGAAAATTAGAAAAGGCTCGTACATTGCCCGTCATATGGTAAGAAGCTCCAGAATCAATGACCCATTAAGGCGACGGAGAAAAATGAGACAACATACTATACCTAGGCTAACGTAGTAATGGAACTAGAGGTAGAAGGATAGGCTCCAGACTTGGAAACAAGACGATTATACTCCAACTTGGAGACAGAGATAACCTCTGATCTCGGTGTAGCCTCAAACGCACTAGACTGTACTAAACCCATATCATCGGACAGAGATACTTTGTGAGCATATGATGGGGTTTTCCATAAAGATCCCAACAATAGTATATAGTATAGCTCGTAAGTCTATAGTGAGTGCACTTCGGGCCTATTTGGATGAATTTTTAGGGAGGGTTTAGATTGGATTCTCCAAACTTTTCCAAACTCAAATCCCTCCTTACAAAGATGGGATACAACATTGTTCGATCCATACCCATGTTTGGTATGCAACACATACACAAGTAGGACCCACGAATATATCATAATTATTAATAACTATTTGTCCTATAAATAACTATTTTATCCTTGATCAATCTAATTCATACCCATGTTAAGGGGTACAATTGTATTTTGCATCCTTAAACCCTTAACCCATCTCCCCCAAACCCACCCCTTAGGTTTAATGAAACTCATAATCTTGGTTTAATATTCGGGCCAACTGCGGACCGGGTTTGAAAACTCAAGATTGAATTTTTAATTCAAACACGTGATTTGGGAGTCCTTTGGACTATTTTCTCCAAACCCATCTTGTCAAACTCCCTAACCAAACATCGCCTTCATGGACCCATGACCTCTATCACCCTGACCTTCCACCATACGATGATCATTCCCTCATTGACCACCTTGGTTTTCTTGACCACCAAGAGGAAAACTATCATGAGAAAAACTATTATTTCCATGCTCAGGGATGACAGATAAGGCTAAACAGTCAGACAATGGGTTTCTACTGAAAAAGTCCCGTAGAAGACCGGAAAAACTTTAGGCATGGAAGGAAGTTCCTTACTTGCTCGCATTTGAGATCTAATAGGTTCAAGTTTTGATTTCAATCCTAAGATAAATTTAGCAACCATTAACTATTCCAGTTGTTTCTGTTGGGTTTTCAAAACAATAGAGAATAGCTAATAGGCATTAAGATTATTCATTATACTCCGTAAAGCAGAATAATACTCTTCAATGGTCTTGTCTCCTTGCTTCAAACTAAACAAATTTTGAAATAGCTGAAAATTTCTGGTAATATTATCTTCCCCCGAGTACAACTGTCCAACAATAAGCCATATCTCCTTAGCCGTTTCTAGAGACATGAGATTAATACTAATTAGAGGTTCCATGTTGTTCCATATCATAGTAATCACTTGAGCATTTTCGACCTTCCACACGTTAAACTTTGGATTAGATTCACTTGGTTTATCCCCGGTCAGATATTCGGCTTTATTCTTCGCTGTTAAGAAAACTTCCACTGATCGAGACCATGGCACATAGTTGTGGCCATTAAGCTTAATAGAGATAATAGGTAGGACAGTAAAACCTTGACCTAAGAAACTAGCAGTAGAAGCGGATTTGGCCTCCATAAAGGCAGAAAATAAACTGTAACAGCACTGTTAAGATTCTGAACCAGACCTGAGTGCAAAAAACTGCTAAACTGGAATTGAACCCGCCAGGAATGGCTTGAACCAGACAGAAAATGAACTGAACTGGACTGAAAAGTACCTGAACCAGCTTCGAATGGACTGAAAATGACCTAAACTGGCCTGAAAAGTACCTTAACCGGATTGGGATGGACTGAACCGGCCTGATATTCTTGGGCTGAACTGAATGGCCTGAACTTGGGCTGAACTGAGTGAACTGGACTTTGGCTGCACCAAGTAAGCTAGACTTTGATCGAAACAAATGACTGACCTGGGCTGAGCAGGCTCAAATAATGCGCTGGACCATTTAAATAAAACTAAGGCTTACTATTTGGGCATGGATCAATTACTTAACCGACCCAAGATATGACCCGATCGGACTTGGATATCGTCATCAACTTGCAGAAGGATACTGTAACCCTAACAAGCTCTGTCATCACCTCCAGCTGATTCATTCCAACTTGATTCAACTGCTAAACTGCTATCAATTGGTTTTCTCACAGTTGTCTCGAACCTAACTATAACAGCAACAAGGTCCGATCAAGCACCAATAAAAACGGCAACAGTGACTGGGTATTTCTTCGATGAGCCAGCCACTAGATGCGACAACGGCGAGTGATTCTCATCAATAAACTTCTGACGATTAACTCTTCAAACAGAACATGATTACCGAATAATATACATTTTTATGGTTGTGGCTCTGATACCATGTAGAATATATATAGGTATACAGACAAAAGAATCAGAGAGAGACAGAGAGAGAATAAGAGAATAGGGCAAAGAACTTAAGTCACCATTCCTCATAGAACAATATATAGGTAGGTATAGGGTTTATACCCTATTACAACTCACTAACAGTTCCAATCAATCAAATTATGAACCCGATATCTCAATTCTATTTATTTAATGTTGCCACTTGTAAAGGGTTGAACTGGCATTCATATCACCAAAATAATTGGAGCTAGAAATCCAACTTTATACATGAGCTTAAAATTCATAAGCCTAGAATAGAAAACCAGCCATGCACTAACCAAAAACTTAAATTGAAAATGTTACGCGGTCCATGGCACATGCAGTTTTCAGCAAAAGAATCTTCCAATATAATTAACCAAAAGAAAAAAAAACATGACAATGTGCGAATTGACAGATACATTTATCTGATATTCCACTTTTTTCTTTGCACCAAGGAAGTGAGTAGGATGTGTGAATTATGATCAGTTGATCACACAACACAGTTTATATTCTGAGAATTCCTAGTAACACAGCTTATCAATAGAGGAAAATGTAATAGAGAGAAAAAAAAAAGAACCATGCTTGTACCTGGGACCCAGAACCAATGAATGGATCACTTCCCCGCAAGCCATCTACAAGCTCTGTATACAATTGTTCCTTTGGAGTTGCTGCAGGTGCACCAAAATAGGAGAACTCTACAACATCAACATCACACCATACACCCCCAGATCCCTGCGAAGCAACATAAAAAATGTATTCAACTTCTAACTATTAGAGTTTGCCTAAAGATAAAGAAGCTTCTAAAATTTCTAAGATGGTAACTTATTTTTTCAGTTTAAATCTTTTTCACAATTTTTTGAGAATTTAGCTATCAACAAACGTCAGCCTGTCTCTAACCAAAAATATTGGTTTAACTTGAAAGACTTCTCAATGTTATATTTTGAGCAGCACCAAGACTGATGTCAGATTCAATATGTCAAACCTATAAGTAGCAGACTGAGTAATTATACATTAAGCTCCAAATAATACCAAGAAAAGCCAGAAGAGCTCAGATCTCAGATTTATGCTTTTCTGTTTTTATTTCTAACCAGTATTTCAATTACTTGTCCACCTTAGTTTGGTTTCTTTAACACTTTTTATTTCTATTATTAATAAAATTATCGTTCTTATCAAAAATAAAAAAGATTTCAGACCTCAAGAGCAGATGGTAGACATTGGATATGGCTGAGCCACTGCTTGTGAACTTTTCTGGCGACAAAGACAAGAATAGCTGGTATATCAGTCAATACTCCACGCCGAATCCGAAACCCAATTGCCGTGCCAAGGCTAAAGCGGCGCAGATTTTTGCTATGACATGCCCTAATAGTCATCAGTTCAAGCAAGGAGGAGGCTTGCCGTCCCGATGGCAATCGCCCAAGAGTTTCAGGCAGAACACCCTTCTGAAGGTTCCCAAAGTGATTTGCCCTATCTTCTGCTGCATTATTTAACCGGCTGGAAGTAGGCCATGAGAAGTAGGGAGCATTGCTCTCGGAGTGCTGACCACCTGATGTTAAGCCTTGTAGTGGTGGTGGACTTGATGAAGGCAAATTGGGATGATTACAGTAATTTCTTTCCAGATCCAATGCCGACTCCTCTGATGGTGTCGATCCAGAGGGAAGAAATCTTAAATCCAGCCTTGTCCTGTCCATCTTTCACCTCTCCTACGTTATGAATCAATTCAATTCTCCAAAATTGTGCAAGAAAAGACAGAAATAAAACAGAAATCTCCAGTTATGCCAGAACCCTTTTTCATTTTCTACCACTAACTAAAATAATTGCTTCCAACAACAAGAAGTTAAATTTGGATGCAATTAGACAAAATTCAATATGAAGAAGCAAGTTTATCATATGATGGTAAGGAATTGTTTAATTACACTAACGTTATCCTAATATGCACTGTGGTTGAATAACAAACTTTAACATGTAACAGAATAACATAAAGAAGACACCCTGAATTTAGAGCATGACAAGACATGATTACAATAAAATTATGCAACATAAAAAGGAACCAAATACGGTATAATTAAGGAATCCAGAGAAGACACCAAACAAGTTGAGAAACCAACAACCAATGTCAACGATAAGTATAACTGCAAAAAAACTAGCAGCATAAACGTCAATAGAATTAAACATAAATAACAACTGCTACCTCACACTTTCAAAGAGATTAATAGAGCCTGAAATGCGAAGCTAGTAAGCAACGAAGCAATATTAAATTCAGACTGAAACTTTGTTAATATTCCAATTCCCAGCAAATTTGAAGAAGTGAAGCCAAGAAAGATAAATGACAATCAATCACATAGCAAAACAACCCAATATAAAAAAGATATCAGCTTTGGCACAAGAAAGACCACCTGATGACAGGAAGCTGATTAGCTTTGGGTTTGTGGCGTCCCCCAGGGTGGGGAGTGTTTTGTTGTCAACCTCAAAAATTAAGTAAAACCCAGATAGACAGGAAACAAAAATGAAATTTTTGACGCAAATTCACTGAAAACTCACCTATAGTCAATGTTGAAGTTGTGGATGAAGCATTCAAAACAAATCCCCTTGAAGATTTTCATGCCCTAGACAAAAACTCCCAGCGTAACCATCTGCCAGATTAGATTGCAAAAATGAATCTCTTTCTTAAAAAGCCCATTTTGTCTGTCTGCATACCTCTGTGTGTGTGTGTAGGTGAGAGAGAGAGAGAGGCCGGCCTTTATTTATTTAGAAGCGGAAAATTGAATTTAGAATTAAAGAAACCAATAAATATCTGTATTCTATAGTATCTGCTGGTGTTGAGTGAGAACTATTTATTTGTGTTTTTTCCAAACCTTTTTTCCTTTTTGCTGTCCCTGTCCAATTTATTTCTTTACTTTTTTGCCACTTATAGTTATGGGTGACCACGCTCCCTGACGAGAGTAGAGGTGAAGGCATGAGAAGATTTTAATGGAGTAGAAATAAGATGGGAGAGGAGAGAGGAGAGAGGAGAGAGGAGAGAGGAGAGAGGAGAGATTTTAAAGGAAAAAAAATAAGAGAGGGAGATTTTCTTGGATACCATTTACATTAAGTTTGGTGGGCGTGTGGGTGGGGGATTAGGGCCCAACTATATTTGCTCCCCGAAAGTTGCACAATTCTCCCCAAATAATTCAATTCCCACTTATCAACAGGGGGGGTAGTGTTCTTTTATCTTTGATTAATATTATTTGGATCTAAAAATTTGACTTAATTTACTGATCTAATAATGTAACTTTATTAAAATTATTGGATTCACACTAAATTTTAATGTTTGATGGACCCTACAGTTAATCAAAATGTCATAATGAAATAAGTCGATAAATTAGGTCAATAAATTAGGTTCCAATAACATTGATTTTTATTTATTGGATAATATTTTTTGTTATTATTTATTTCATTGAATTTCTATAACGTGATGATTTCTTGATATTTCTAAAATGACACAAATATCCCTTAATGAAGTTTTAAGGTTAAAGTGGTTAATAAGAATTTTATGTGCAATTTTTTCTTCTTTTTTTTTACAGGACCTATAGTTGAATAAGTTGAAATGTACAATTCGAAACCCATTTTTCTTGATGTATATCAACATAAAAAGAGTATTATGCTACTTGCTCTAAACTCGAAATTTGTATATCATTTCCAAAATTTTAGCAATTTTTTGTATATTTTATCAAAAATTCCTAGGAATAGAAGTATAGTTTATCCATGGGTTTTTAATACCAGAATCATAACTATCACAACTTCTGTTCCATAGATATGCTAGGTTTAATGGGCATCATCATTAGGAAATTGCTATTTTAACAATTCAAAACTTTGCATCCACGATCCCTCATTTTTTGATGGACTTCAGTGAAAATTATTTTCCATACGTTATGTATAAAGTTTATTGAAGTTTTTGTCAAGAAGGTTGCTGTTGCACAGCAAAAGAGAGCCAAAAACTGTCATTGTCCTTGATTTATCATTAGTCCTTTTACAAATGTGGACGGGGCGTTATCTTAACAGTTGAAATCTGGAAAGCACCTTATCTTTTCACTCTCTCACACACGCGCAATTAGGATGGTTGCTTCCATTATTTATCCTTACAAAGCCTATCTCAATGGAACACCTTTAGAAAATTGCATTTTTAGAAGTTCAAATCAATCTCTCTCTCTCACACAACTCACTCGGTAGCTGTCATTTTCTGTTCATTATCTGCTCCTGCTTTATTGCTCATGTCTTCCTAATATGTCTTTCAATTCAATCATCAATTTTCCCCTTCAGATATAGTCAAAAGATCTAGACAATGTGCAGGGTTAAAAGAAACTTTAAAACGATGAAATTTAATCTCTCTGTTAAGGAGTTTTTTTTTTTTTTTTTGTTGGGTTGTTTTGTAACGTAAAATGATGATGGAAAAATTGATACAGGTGAAAAGATCATTTAGTTCAATTCCAACTAAGCTTGGTAGAAGTTCTAATTTGAACAGGACTGTAGCTCCTAACTCCCAACTCCCAACACACTAGCTTGTCAGCTTGCAACATGGCAGAGCCTTACCTCCTCACGATTTGACTAATTCAAATCCAGTTGAGACTCCTGCTCCGGATGGGGAACCAGCACTCAATACAACACTTGTACCGCCCATATTCAAATTATGGATAAGAATCCTCCAACAACCTAATCCCATGGCCTATAAAAGGGAAGACATGAGATAATCTAGGTAAGGCATTTGAACTCCCAATATCATATTCTTCCTCTTGAATACCTTTCTGACTTAGGCATCGAAATTTCGACCCCCAAAGTTCGCATCTCATCTCTGACTTCTTTTTCAGCTGATCGAAGTCAGACGAACTTCTATAACAACCCGTGCTAGTGAACAGTAGAACAATATGGATGACCATACTGCTTTTATCAAGATTTCGATCATGTCCCAATTGTTTCTATACCGTGTTTCATCTAAAAATGTAGAAACATCTTGATGGTGTGTTCTGTGCAGCTAAGTAGAGGAAAATGGTTTGGGGATCTTGTTGTAAATGTTAAAAAGAGATTATTAGGATATGTAGTCAGAGGCTCTTGGGAGTTGAACTATCAATCCAGAGAAATAACAATGAATGAAGATCAATAGACATAGAGTTTATAGCGGTTCGGATACTACCATAATCATCATCACTATGTACATTCATTCATAAAATAATAAATATCTTAAAAGAATCTCATGTACATGCCTTTTAAATATAAACAATTTTTTGTTACAAAAATTATACAAGGTCAAAAGTAAAAATATTCAAGGGACTACGACGTCAAAAATAAGAGTCACAGTCCGGTTCTGTCATCAAAGCGGACCAGTAGGGGGCCTTCGGTGAAAGCATGTGGTGTACTTGAAAATTGTTCCCATAAAGGGTGAGTCAATGCTTAATAGGATAACTCCTATTGTAACACCCCAAATCACGGTACCATATCTGCCACAAATGATGAAGAGAAACCAACAACAATTGCATAACTCTGATACATTTATATACATACAAATTATGTTTAAAACACCACGATTACATTCCAATCGACCATCTAAACTTGTCAGTAGACTCCTCTTATCTTTAATGTTTTTCCTGAAAAGTCATTGAGACTATTAGTGAGAGCAAGGATACAATCAATAATCATGAACACAACAAGAGATAAAGAAAAACACTTTATTTATTTAGAAACAATCTTAACCATGCTGCAATTACCAACATTAAATGTTACACTTCACCACTTACACTTTGTTCAGATACATCACATAGACATAACTTGTATAAATCATATAGGCAAAATTTACCGCTAAAATAGTTACTTTTACACAATTAAATTATGCCACACAACGAATACCCTCGCACACACCCCCGGTCACACAAGAAATTCAAGCTACACAAATAATTCTCATCACTTAGACAACATATACCACATAATTAATTCTTATCACTTAGATGACTAAAGTCAGATAGATACTTCTCATTCTTGTCACTTAGACGACTTACATACGTTATTTAATTCCTTCATGTAGATGGCGTTGTTAATCAACTCGAATCACAACGTTAATTTCGGTCACATAGATGACTCGTATCAAGCAATTAATTCTTGTCTTATAGGTGACTTACAAACACTTAATATTTCCTGTCACATAGACAACACGCAACTACTTAGTAATTCCCATCACATAGACGTTATACAATCACCTAATATTTCCCGTCACGAAGATGATACACAAACTTAGTATATCTCGCCCCGTAGATGTCACACAATCACTTAATATTTTCCATCACGAAGATGACACACAAATTTAATATTTTTCATCACGTAGACGTCACACAATCACTTAATATTTCCTGTCACGAAGACGACTCATATGTTTAATACTTTTTCGTCACGTAGATGACACACAAACTTAGTATTTCCTGTCACATAGACATCACACAATCACTTAATATTTTTCGTCACGAAAAAGACTCATATACTTAATATTTTCCAGTCACGTAGACATTTCACAGTCACTTAATATTTCTAGTCACGAAGACAATACATAAACTTAATATTTTTCTTCACGAAGACAATTCATATGACACTTTTGTCTTCTGGAGAACTTGTGTATTTATAATATTCTCAATCGCTTTTATTACTCATGCTCTTATTGCAACTATCACCAGTTTGATGATTCACACCCACATTATTATCTCATCATAGGAATGCATCATGCTCGCAAATAAATTCAGATCACAAACAATCAACTTGAAAAGCATGCACAAATTTCATCACACAATTAACCCAAGCCACGAAGGCTTACCCCGTCATTTAAACCATCTTTGTCACCTAAATATTACACCACTCAGTTATTAAATCTCAAAAGAGATCATAAAACAACCATTTAAGCAAAACTTAAATATGTATCAATAAAGAAAATGTAGGATAACACGCCTACCTTACATGAGATTCTACCTTGTAGACGACCCCTCTGTCAGAGCTTTGAGTGCGGTATTCTTTGACGTTTTTGCCTCTGGACCTGTCATGCCCAATATTCATAATTCCACTCAAGCATTAATATGTAATAATGCTTAAATCCATAATTGTTTATGAAACTCGAATTTTAATATTCAATTCAAGTCAAATTAATAATTCATTTACATCCAATAAAATTATCTACTCGAATCATTAAGCTAATAGTTTAATAATCAATTCGAGTCAAATTAAATAATCCATTTACATCCAATAAAATTATCTACTCGAATCGATTAAGCTAATATTTTAATAATCAATTTGAGTCAAATTAAATAATCCATTTATACCGAGTAAAATTATCTACTCGAATTGATTCAACTAATCTTCTCGAATCCGTTAAAGTAACATTTATTTGAACTAATTATATTAAATGAAACATTTCTCATAAAATTGCAAAACATAACAAAAGTATACTTGAATTTGAATTACTTCCTACATCATAAAATTTTACATGTTTTCTTGTAATTACTCATCCCTTGAATCATTCAATTTCAAGAACATTTCATAATATTTTTAAATTATTCACTAGACTATTATATCTCTAAATCAAAATTCAACCTACATATAATAATTCTTTTCTTCCTATTTAATTTTTTTTATGCAACAACACCTTATGCTCACACACCCACCGAAACATTATATTAATTTTTCAAGCAATACCTATGATACCACACTTCCATAACAACCTTTACATTAAACCCACATGCAATGTGACACCCCAAAATCCGGGGATCCGTTGATTACCCATCAACCCGTAGAATA